TTGAGACCAACCACTGAAGAACCCACATGCATTTACGAGGATAATGCTGCTTGCATCGAGCAAATGAAACTTGGATTTATCAAAGGTGATAACACTAAACATATTTCTCCCAAATTTTTCTATAATCAACAACAACAAACTCTCATCAAGATCCAAGTAAATCAAATAAGATCTGAGGAGAATGTGGCAGATTTATTCACCAAATCATTACCTAAAGCCACATTTGAGAAACATGTTAAAAATATTGGGATGCGTAGACTTTCGGATCTTCCTTGATCATGTACACTTCAGGGGGAGATTTGAATATTCAAGGTCTAGCTTTTATTTTATGTTACACTCTTTTCCTTAAACCAAGGTTTATTTTTCCCATTGGGTTTTGTTACTTGGTAAGGTTTTTAATGAGGTAACAATATGCATGAACATAGCGATCGAAGTAAGGATCGGTATTCTTTCCTTTGTTCAAGATTTTTATTCACAGGATTTTGACACTTGACGAGATTTTGACAAGAGATCAAGATTCTGCAATTCTACCTACAGCTCAGCACAAGGGGGAGTGTTGAAGGAATTTGTAAATTAGTGTGTTGTTGTGTAGATAGAATTTACTTTATATTGTGTAATAAGTTGTACTGGCCCGTGGGCCTTCTCTTGTAAAATCCTACGAAGCTCTTCCCTATATAAGGAAGCTATTATCAATAGAGAAAGTGACATCTCCCACAACAGAGAGATAATTTTTTTTATTAATATTAATTGAAATTAACACAGAGTACAACGCCTGTTGCAAAAATGCCTAAAGTGTAAAAAATACAGTTAAATGAACTTGCAAGAAGTGCGTCTCTTTCCCGTTGCTCCTCTCCAGGCAAGAATTCTGCTGCAACGCTCCTCTCCTTTTTATTTTGCATCCCTTCAAATCAAACAAATTGAAGCTTCTCAGATTCATCTAGGACTGTCCCAATCTTAGTTGGGTACATCTGGTTTGGTTGATTCGTTGGTGTTCTTAGATTTTTGGTGATGCATAGAACATGTTTGATGAAATGTTCAACCCAAAAAATAGGAAGAGTTTATATTATACCTGGTGTGGTTGGAAAGCATCAAACAAAATTTGAAAGCTAAAACACTGTTTATAAGCTATTTTGGTTTATAGCTCACAATTTTATCCACTCTTGATTGAGTTTCAAAACATAACCATTAGAGAGTTTGTGGAGTTTCATTTTCTGTGTTATCTGCAATCTGTTGCAGCTTCAATTGAAGACACAATTCACATAAGATTCACAATTCCTCTTCTTTCTGAACTGTCCAAGCGGAGAGTGTAAAGTTCAAAGCTTGAAATCTTGAACACAAGGACTAGTCATTTTCTCAAATGCCAATTTTGTGTATGCTTAGTTTAAGAATTGAATTGTATAGATAGGGAGTTTGCTAATTTTGGTTATTCATAATTCATGTGCTAGCATTTAAGTTGGTGGTTATAAGGTTATTGTTCTTTTTGTAGGTTACTTTTCATTTCAGGAACTGTAAAGTTTATTTAAGAACTATGAATTCACATTATTTATAAAATGTGATTTCTTTTTTGAAAATCTCCCCTATTTAGCTTATATTTAAACTAAACTGTAAAAGATTATACAGAAAATACAGAGCCCACTATATTTAAATCAAACTGTAAACTATTAGGCCCACTCCGTTGAAATAAATAGACATATAACCAGCTGTTCTAGCAAGCTAATTAAAAGCATGATTCGCTAATCTATTAACAAAAGATAAAGAAACAGAAGTAGAATTTTACACTCCTTAACACAAATGTCAAAAAAAGTTCGATCACATGGTGTACCATTTTCCAAAGCATTCTTCACTAAAAAGCAATCCATCTCCAAAATTAACAGTATCCTCAATGTTATTGATGAATGTGAAACTTGAATTCCTAGATTATGAATTACTCTGTAGTTAGTGGTTTGTGCACTTTTAGTATTTATGATTAGGAATTTATATATACCTCCTCCCTGCCAATACCAGAAAAACAATGAAGTAAAGTAGCCAATATATTTTGTTCGGGAGCTGTCCTCTCTGCTTTGGCACTTTCACGAACAAAACTTGTATCTCTTAAAATTGGTTTAGGGGTTCTATCCGAGACCCGTACTAATCCCCCACCCAAAGCTATTATTGGTTGACTGATCTTCTCAACCTTGTTGCCTCTACTTCTGCCAAGTAAGAACTAGAGAAGTAATTATGGGCCTCTCCCTCCTTTTTGTATAACATGCTTGCAAGATCATTGACATTGAACTAGCTGTAAACTGATCTTATGTTTCATGCTATGCAGTCTTCCATTTTTTGTATATTTCTCCGTACTCGGAAAATGGTTTTTTTACTTGAATATTGTAATATGCAGTTATCCTATCTTTTTTAATTGTGTAGTCTTTTTGTATTAGACTATTATCCTTATCTTAATTAATTGTTTGAAAACGTTGTGCTAGATAATGTCTAGATCCGAATATGTTTTTGGAGGATGATAATTGATGAGCTGTGGAGATTGAAAATTATTTAATTTAGCATTTTTTTACTTAGTATTTGCATTAATTGTTATTTACATATCATTTGTGTCATGGTTTTGATTTTATATCTTGTTTTGCATTCTTTTTTGCAGACTTGAATTACAGTTGTAGCTTCTGATCTCAGTAGCACCAGACACTTTTTTTAATATTGATGTGGACTCGTGGGAAACCAAACACTATTTTAATCGAAAGTTGCTCGGTCAACCAACTGAGAATTTTATCTTGTCAGCTTGGAAGTTCCCAACACTATCATATCCAGACAAAGCAGAGAGCTAGCTCTGATGGCGTGTCATGTTTGTCATCAGATTCGTCCCAAAGAAAGGCCCGTAGCATCGTCGGAATTTTCTGGGATTTGGATAACAAGCCACCAAAGACGTTACCTCCTTTTGAAGCGGCCTCGAAGATAAGGAAGGCAGCAGAGCAGTTTGGGTTTGTTAAGTACATGGTTGCTTATGCTAATCAACGTGCTCTCAGTTATGTCCCACCTCTTGTTAGGCAGAAGAGGAATGATAGGAAAGTGTCGATTGACTTAGAGTATACTTGTAGGGTGTGTGGAAGGAGGTTTTACACAAACGAGAAGTTAGTTAACCATTTTAAGCAAATCCACGAACGTGAGAATACAAAACGAGTGAATCAGATTGAGAGTGCAACAGGGAGTAGGAGGGTGAAGTTGGTGGCCAAGTATGCAGCAAAGATGCACAAGTATAAGAATGCGTGTAGAGACATTTTGACCCCAAAAGTCGGGTACGGTTTGGTGGATGAATTGAGAAAGGCTGGATTTTGGGTTAAGGCCGTTTCAAACAAGCCAGACGCTGCGGATGTTGCTCTTAGGGATCATTTGGTTGATATGATGGCCAAAAGGATGGTTGAATGTGTGTTTCTTATATCTGATGATTCTGATTTTGTGGAGGTTTTAAAGGAAGCAAAAAGTAGGTGTTTGAAGACAGTGGTTGTTGGTGATGTCATGGACGGGGCCCTCAAGAGGACTGCGGACGCTTCATTCTCATGGGCAGAGGTAGTGATGGAGAAGGCTAAGAAAGAAGCAGTTACGGTTGTGGGGCGATGGAAGGACCGTGACGTGTTGAAAAAATTAGAGTGGACTTATGATCCTGAGAGAGACAAAAAATACTATACGTTATCTGACTTCGGGAGTGAGGACGATTCGGATGTTGACCTTTTTGTTTCTGAGGAAAATGATGATGATGATGATGATCATTTTCTACACAAGGAAGACAATGGAGCATGGTGGGAGCTGGGTTCTGAGACGAAATGTGATGGATCCATTGGGTAGCCATAGTAAATCAAGTATCTTTGGACATATTTGGCCGTGCCAAGCACTTTTTCATTCAAAAATATTAGCATCGTACCCGTGCTATGCACGGGGAGCATTTTTTTATTAAATATTTCATTAATTAAAATTTAATTAAGAGTATAATTCATAAGGATTAAAAGTTCAATTTTATACAATATCACAATCAAGATTAAAGATGATATCCCTATCTGATACATTATTGATAAGGATAATCAGACCAATTCCTAGTACCATATTCTTATTATATCTAAAATGCATTGAACAGTTGATAAAAACAAACAACAAACCATTACAACGCATTTCAAATATTTTGGAAAACTTCTTTGAATACAACATTAGTGGTACACTCGACTACGTTATTATCAGCGTCACAAATCAAAATTTTAAGGCCCTGACGGTTTGTCACTCGAGAAAAAGCAACGTACAACTGTCCATGACTAAAGACTGGTTTTTTTAGTAGTAGACCAACATGCTTTAGGGATTGACCTTGACTCTTATTTATTGTCATAGCGTATGACGTCATTATCGGAAATTGTTTTCTCTGAAATTTAAAAGGAATCCTCGTATCCGAAGGTGTAAGCGCGAGTCTTGGAATCACAACCTCGTGACCA